AACTTGACGCCCTCCGTATAAGAAAAGAAAGTACTCTCTCTCTCTTTCTCTTGAGTTTCGTTATTAAGAATTAACCTCATATTTTTCTTCGGTGATACCGTCAGAACGAGCTCCGGTAGCGACGAGCGTAAGAAAAACGGCGGCGTACAGGCCTGCTTTTACGGGCGTGCCTTTTCTGTCCGCTGGCATTAAGTAAATTGCAAATTAAATTGCACTTCGCTAAAATGTACATGTTCCATTCAATGGCTTCATGTGGCGTTGCATCTCGACCAGGACGTACGCTTGAGGGCCTCTTCATTGACTGGAACAACCGTGATGTCACTGAAAATGGCCATTGTTCACCAACTCTCACAGTCTAAAAAGGAGTGAAATACTATGCTCTGTGAGTTTCATGGTGTCAGCTATTACGTATTCATGCTAATCAATTCAGAGCAACAAATGAATTCTGATGGAATCACACCTTTGGTGTGAACAAATGTTTCTCTTTGTTTTGTTTCCGAGTTTTCACCGCCGTACTGTGGACACGTTGTGAGTATCCAAACCATAGTTTGAATTTGTATGCATCTATTTATGTCAAAAACAGAACGGGCAGAAGTTAATTTGAAGTTACCTTTATGTCTAGAAGCAAAACAAGGGTTCATCTCAGCATTTGCTCAAGGACCAAGGAAACTGGACGAAAACCTGATCGAGATGGGGGACATTAATTCATCAGCTGAACTACAATATTTGATACGTGTTCTTTAGAATTATACAGTCCACATGGTGAATAATACAATAAAAGTCATTGTTAAAAGTAATATTACTTTCTTTTTGGATGCTCGAAATAGTGTTTAATTGTATAGAAACAATTATGCAGCAGAACCTATATGGAAATAATTCCATTTAAAATAGTGAATGTTCAAAGGGTAAAGGCAGCAAATGTCCAATCATTTCTTCTTTTCTAGAATATTTTGCCAATTAGGTATTGTTAAATTAATTAAATAGTATGATAATAGCATAAGTGATCGTTTGCATATGACGTCTTGGGTATAAAAATTCAATGATTTACATTTTTTCAGTCCTCATCCTCACCAAATTGAACGATGCCGTTTGAGAATATTATTGTACATATTAAATTTTTTATAATACATTTTCTATAGCAAAGAAATTATAATCCCATTCCACTTTATATATTTCACATTTTAATCTACTACTCAATCCTTTTAGACCCTTATTGCTATCCCTTTTGAGTAGATTTTGTCATGAGTAAATATTTCAATAATAATCATTTGAATAAGCGTTCTCCATTTCTCACTGATGTTCTAGCCACTTCTCCTTAGGACTATAAGATTATATTTTTAAAATTTCGATTCGAGAATTTTTTGCAGACCACGAACATTGGATGTCCAGAATTCATAGTTTCGAGAAAATAAATTTTGAAAGTTCCAAAAAGTGCAGTTATGTTTGGAGAGACAATGTTTGTTTCGTGGAAAAAATCATGATCTCTCTTACATGGATATACAATCTTTGTACAGTAAGAAGGCATGAACGATGGATCCCCCAAAATGATAGTAACTCAAAGTTGACCGCGAGTGGACATACCATGTTTGTGCACTAAGCCATCGATATATCTTTTCGTTTGGTTTGGTTCAACATTTGAAGGGCATTCTTCTTCTTTTGTTGTTTTTATTATTATCGTCTAATTACTCTTTTTCTTTTCCCTGCGTGTGGCATTTAGAAGAATGTTTAAGAATTTTCGGAGCAGATACTTGTCTCCCCCATGCAAATATCGGCAAACGAAGAATAATCTGCATGATTGGAATGTCATGATTATATTATCTTTGTATATCTACAAAGATATACCATGTCACGCTTACTACCAAAAATCGTACTACATTCCTTATGTACAGGGCAAGGAAAATTAAGAGATTCTTCAGGCAGAATTAAGGGATGATCCTCAGATTGAAAGAGCGATGTTAAAGTTAATTGGGATCAACACAATTACCTTTAATGTATTCGATCACTAATTTAATGATATATTGTTTGTACATCTACCGTTATAAACTGCTTCTCTTAAAACGCAATCCTACGACTTTAAAACAATTTGCATCAGTCTCACAAATTAAACGCAATGCAAACAATGTAGTCAACAACATTCACGTCTGTCATATGCGTCTTTCATGCTCTTCTTTATACTTATAACGTATGTCTACCAACTTTGCCGCGCCGAATTATGGTAGGTATATTATGGTAGGTGCTCATTACTGTGCTTTTTGATAAGACGTTTTACCACGTTTGTGATTAGATTGAGTTCTTTCTTTAGCTCTCATGTTCTTCGTGCGCCCAGAGTCTTTTGGTTCTGTTTTTTACGGATATAACGTTTAAGATTTCGGGGATAGTTTAATTATAGGTTTGTGTTTGGAGTGGTAGTATATTCGGAATTTTTTTATGGTTGCACCAATGAGGTCGGTTAGAAGATAAGTCACACTGATCTATTTTGAGGGGGGTATTTAGAATTTTAATTTTGGGTATTGAATTATTTACTGTTTTGGAGAAAGTTTTCCAGTTAATTATTAAAGAATTACCTTTAAGCAATGGAGTACGTTGAGGTCACAGTTGCTGTGATGTAAGTAATACAGGGATATGGTCAGAATCAAGTTCGAATATACGCGACATATGGAGGTCAATGTTAGCGTTGGTTATGCTAATGTCGAGCAGGTCAAGTTTGCGTAAGTAATCATGCGGGTAATAAGTAGGCTCACTGGGGGAGAAAATTTCAATACTAGTATTGTTTACTAGTTTTTTACCGTCCTCCTTGTTGCATTGGCAACCCCAGTTGACATATTTGGCAATTATGTCTCCTATTAGCAAGACTTTATCGTTGGAATTAAATACATTTTGAAGGTTTGTATTTGTTAATTTTTTACTTAGTGGGTGTGTGTGTTGGGGGGGGGGGGATTTTATGCTGATATAATCTTCAAACGGTGGTTGATAGTTATTATTTATACTGCTTTAGTTTCTAACCCTGGTCTTTTCGGGAGAGTTTCCTGGTTGTGTGTGTGGATAGATTTTATAGCGATGAGTATGCCCCTTCCATTCGAATCAGTTTTATTAACTATGCAAAATGGAGAAACGCTGCCGCTTATTTGAATGAAACGCTGCCAAATGTTAATAACGGCAAAAGCTGCGTACACTACGCCACTTAGCCTTGTTGCATGTTATCTCAACTGTCACAACACTAACTGCGACGGCTTATCTGCGCGGAGTTCTTTGAGGTGTTACCCCGTCAAGGGCTGAGCACGAACTGTGAATTCCTTGCCCTAGAGATAACTATAATACTTTAAAATAAAGACTTTAAACACACTGCTAGTCATTCCTAGGTTCCAACGGACCTTATCCCCTTGCAGCACTCCCTGCAAATTTCATTTTTGATCAGATCATGCCCTTCTTTAACTGATCATGGTTTAATGTAAAATAGTTCTCAAACTTGTCATCATAAATTCCACTTTGTGTTCCTCTTTGCGTCATGTTAATCTCTTCTTTCACCAGTTTGCTCGAGCAAAACGGCGTAACATTACGTCTCTAACTCTAACTCGCTTTCGGAATTAGATTCAGAACTCAAATCTACTAGCATCGAGGAAATACTCCACATCTTTGTCAGTGCTCGTACCGGAGTGATCTGCAGTGCATCTTGTGGTGATCGTCGCAGTGACTCACTTTTCTGTGAGGAATTCGACGTGAGTCACACTGCATCACGTCACGGACCTGTGTCTCATTTTGCGAGTAGCCTAACACCAGGTCACCATTGATACGTCCGTTCGACTTTCTGTTTACAATTAATACGTCCGTCTACAACTCTTTCGGCAACGATTGCCTCGTTAGAAATGGGGCGAGCTATGGTGGGTGACCCAATACGAGGATCAGTTCAGGAACTGCCCCACTCAGTTCCATTTCTCCTCTCGTATGGGGTCTTTTGTCCTGTGAAGAGTAGACTGTTGTAAAAGTCAATGTGCACAGGCGGAATGAACTTTTGCGACAGTTTCATTACATCATTGTACTTTGTAGAATTCAGTGGAAGTGTCTCAGTGTTTTCTTTGGATGCATTCAACTGAGGGCACTGCTGTTGTGCGTTAAAAATGCAAAATTTTGAGTTGATAATACCACTTTGCTCAGTAGAAACAGACACACCTCTTTCTTGGAAATGAAGTTTCAATATTTAGTAATTCTGAAAGACTCAGTTGCATTCTTTATGACCTTCTTGAAGAATAGTTATAGCTGGTGTATATAAGCTAACAGCATATACTGATTCACTCAAACAACTGAAAATATCAGAGCAGATCATGCTACTATATTATACTACTCTTCTGAGACAAAGACTTATTCCCTTTTCCTTTTGATTTTCTTAATTTGAGAAAAGGCCAAAAATTAGTGTACTTGGAAACAAATTCGAGTTAAGTGAACTTAAAAATTGGGCCATCAAAATATTCTTGTTTTGCCAGGATCAGTTGTCACTGAAGAGATATAGGGATGAAGAGATGTTTTAATTTTTTATATTTTGAGCTATGAGTGTCTATATACATTTTATGACATTTGGTCATAAACGAATAGAAACCCATTTTATAAACACATATCTCACGCAAGTAAAAGATTACTCATATTCATTTTTGTGTATTTCTTTCCCATTGCTCTTAATTTTTCGCCTAGGACCCGCTCAGGTCTGAGTGCAAGAAGAGGATAACTCCAGCTATTATGTGGTTCTTGCACTCAGAGAGTAGAAAATAAAAATTTTAATCGACGTTCCCTGAGATGATTAAGAACTTATTTTCGAAAATGAAAATGTTTACATAAGGCAGGACAGTTTTCGTGTATATTCGAAAATCTCATTTTCGCAAAAAGTGATCATTACCTGGTTCTTGCATTCAGGTCATCAATTGTCGTGTCGACCCAGTATGGCCGTCTAGAGAGTAGCAGTTCAATGCATTGCCTGCGTTCTCATCCTGGTCGTGTTTGTGTGTCCCGCGCAGGCCATCCGCGCTTCATGAACCAGCTGTCCTGCGGCCTTGACCTGGTGTCGCTGGCCGGCGAGTGGCTGACGGCCACGGCCAACACCAACATGTTCACGTACGAGATCGCGCCGGTCTTCATCCTGATGGAGCACGTGGTGCTGCAGCGCATGCGCGAGCTCATCGGCTGGCCCGGCGGCGCGGGCGACTCCATCCTGGCGCCCGGCGGCTCCATCTCCAACCTGTACGCCTTCCTGGCGGCGCGCCATAAGATGTTCCCGGACTACAAGCAGCGCGGCACCACCGCCGTGCGGGGACAGCTGGTCATGTTCACCTCCGACCAGGTAGGCGCCAGCGACATGCAAAGGGCCAGTAGGGAACTAGCTCATGACCACATCGCGACCAGGTAGGCGCCAAAACAGTGCCATCGCGACTTCAAATGCGTCAGTGGGGAACTAACTCGGGATAGCTCGGCATGATCACATTCCCGACCAGGTAGGCGCCAGCGACATGCAAAGGGCCAGTAGGGAACTAGCTCAGGCGATAGCTCTGATCACATCCGACCAGGTAGGCGGCCAACACAGTGCCATCGCGACATTCAAATGGTCAGTGGGAACTAAACTCGGGGAAGCTTCGTCATGATCAACATCCGACCAGGTAGGCGCCAGCGACATGCAAAGGGCCAGTAGGGAACTAGCTCAAGGATAGCTCATGATCACTATCCGACCAGGTAGGCGCCAACACAGTGCCATCGCGACATTCAAAATGGTCAGTGGGGAACTAACTCGGGGATAGCTCGTCATGATCACATCCGACCAGGTAGGCGCCACTGACATGCAAAGGGCCAGTAGGGAACTAGCTCGGGGATAGCTTGTCGTGATCACATGGGAACAGGTAGGCGCCAACACAGTGCCATCGCGACATTCAATGAGCCAGTAACGACCTAGCTGGGGGATAGCTGGTCATGTTCACCTCCGACCAGGTAGGCGCCAGCGACATGCAAAGGGCCAGTAGGGAACTAGCTCAGGGATAGCTCATGATCACATCCGACCAGGTAGGCGCCAACACTATGCCATCGCGACATACAAAGCGCCAGTAGGGAACTAGCTCGGGGATAGCTCGTCATGTTCACATCCGGCCAAGGACCGCGCGCGACATGCCCCTCCTCTTCCTTGTCCTGTCCTCACCTCTTACATGCACTACACTTTCACACGTGTCCGGATCTTAGCGCATGTCCCGGCTGCTGCGGTGCGTCGCTGGTGAGAGATACCTGGTTGCAAACCGACGGTTAGGTCGGCGCGGGATCTCGCAATCCAGCCGGGGAAAATCACCGTCTCGTCTCGCAATCAAACTTGCACTACACTTACAGGATCAGCGTCTTCACCCGTTGACACGCCCAATAATCCCTAACCCCTCCCCCACCCCAGCGCAGGGCGTGCAAGCGTCGTCTGCCCGCAGTGCCACTACTCCGTGAAGTCGTGCGCGGCGGTGTGCGGCCTGGGCACGGACAACTGCGTGGAGGTGCCGAGCGACGCGCGCGGCCGCATGCGCGTGGACGAGCTGGAGCGGCTGGTGCTGGAGCGCAAGGCGCGCGGCCACGTGCCCTTCTTCGTGGTGGCGACGGCCGGCACCACCGTGCTGGGCTCCTTCGACCCCATCGAGCAGATGGCCGACGTGTGCCGGCGCCACGGGCTGTGGTTGCACGTGGACGCCGCGTGGGGCGGCGGCCTGCTCTTCTCGCGCCGCTACCGCCACCCGCGCCTCACCGGCATCGAGCGGTCAGTCCACGCCTCTCAAAATACACGAAATACGTGAATCTACATGAGTGCGTGAAAAACAGAACGGTATTACTGACATTATATAAATTCTGAGAAATCAGTTTATTGAAGTCAATATCACATTAAAGTCATGGTACTTTGTGTCTTTATAATTGCGGCATATCAATTGTTCATTAAAACCTCGAAAAATATATTGCCATTGAAATATAGTCAAAAATAAACACGTTTCCTTATAATTTATAAAATGACACTTATACCGTTCTGGTTTTCACCCATTCATGTGAACTCATTTTTATCAAAATACGGAGTTAAAATATGGAACGTAATTGAGTCCAAGAAGGTGACGGGATCAATATGTGTTAAAGTTTTTCAGAATCAAATTCATTAGATATTTACAAAAAGTTTAAAAAATATTTTATATCTGTTATACGGTTGTCTTGGTTACTAATATTAATGTTGTTGTAGCGCTTGTTTTAGTGTTATCATTTCTGTAACACATAAGGCAGAACCCGATATGTCAAAACTGAAATTTTCAAGAGAAGTTTTCCTAATGAAGGGTTTTTCCGAATTTAAGATTTTACTTACAATAACGTGGCTAGTTCATTAAAATATTTTTTCATACTCTTTCCATCTAGTAGATTGTAAAATTTGACTGAATAAAGAAAATATTTACAAAAATTGCGTTCAATGTCAGAAACATTTTAAAACCTCATTTTATAAACTTAAATTTTTGCTGAAGCTTCGTAACCATACTGGGTTATGCCATCATATTCTTAGCTCTATGATGGTAGACATACTAAAAATTGACTTGTTTTGACTCCGCTTTTTTAGGTTCTGCTTTAGTATCATATTTTTATTCATTTCAGTTTACGGGTGTTATTAGGGTAATTAAGACCCACAAGTGATGAACTATTGGGTTGATGATAGCGATAATGGCGATGACGAGTGACGCTGGATGACCCTCCAGAATAAGACATACAAAACACTCGGAATAAAGTTTCCTAAACGTAACATTCGTCAAAAAACAGTTTCGATGTAGTACAATTCAATCAGTGTCGACAGTACTGCATTTACTCCTTCAACACTGCCATGTTTTCTCTTTGCATGATATTAAGCCCTTCTCGAGCATCATTGGATTGATTTCAGGCCGAAGGAGATTTGAAGAAATATTATAATATTTTTAAAATATTAAATTATATTTTAAAACAGTATTATGACACTCGTACATTTGTAAATCAACTTTTTTAAAAAAATACAAGATGAACAATTAACTTTTAGAAACCACACAAATTTAATTTTCATATTTTAAAAAGGTTGAATGGTATTTTGTCTTTCATTTTTAATGTATAAAGCCTTTCAAGATACCGTTTTATAGAAATAAGAATGTTAGAGTGTTTAATACGATTTTCACAGGGTTGCTATTCCGAACACTTTAATGTTCTGCTTGATTTGTGCAGACGTATTTAGACATTTTTTGGTCTTTACAATAGGCAGCTCTGGCTGATGAATAGCCCTCGCGTAATTCTTTCAGTAGTGATCATCTGTCAGTCGAGATCTCTCATGCCAAGCCTTCAGCGGCATCCCCCCTCCCCCGCGATCGCCGCCCACCGGGCGGCTGCCACTGGCGTCTGCAGGGTGCAGACTAACAATCAAGCGGCCTCTTTCACGCCTCCGCGGGCCCGCGGAGCGAAGGGCGGGCGCTGGGACGCGGCAGATGGCGCCGGGCAGTGGGCAGCAGAGACTTAACCCCGCGGGGGGGGTCGGCGGGGGGGAGGAGGAGAGGGGGTTTGGCGGGAGGGCGGCGGCGTGTCGCGCAGAGAGCAGCGTGGGAGCCACCGGCGCACAGCACTAGGCTGAGCAGAGCGCGGAGGGATTGGGGGGAACGGGGCGGGGAGGGGCGGGAGCGATCTGCAACCTGTCGTACACTAAAGGGCTCTTGAAATTTCGAACGTACCGTCTCGATATTATTAGGGCTTTTACCAGTTGGGAAAGTGTCGAAAAGGAGTACAATCCCAACTGACAAAACTGCCATAAAAGGTTTTTGGGCAGAGATATGCAATAGAAGTTGCCGAAAGACAAAAACAGAATGAATGGAATTGGTTCTATTACATATCGTAAAATCATTCCCAAAGAGACACTTTCCCTGTTCTGACATGCATGAGTAAATGTGAGCAAAAACTATTAGAGAGACTAACTTACTCTTCATCCACACCGGGAGATACTGCTCAGGGCATCAATAGATGGCACTGCAGACCTTCTGATCGGTAGAGTCTAGGTTCGAGCCGACAGCGGTGGCAGGGTTTTTGACACTAGCTTGTCAGCTAGGTCCAATTCAGTCGAGAATTCTAGCGGCCGGCTGCTTTGATCGGTTGTTTTCCGTGTTTCCGATCAACACCAGGAGAATGCCGGAGCAGTACCCAAATCGCGGACCGCGCGCCTTCTTTACTACCTCTTCTATGTTCTATCCTCACCCCTGGCACACACTTACACTCGCTACAAACACACACCGGCAAACCGGTCGGGAGTTTAGAGCTTGTTCCGGAGCCCCACTGATACGAGATACCTGATTGGGGAAAATCCTGCTAGCCGACGGTAGGTCGGCGCCGGACCTCGCCATCCTGCGGGGGGAAGACCACAGCCACCTCCCGAGTAAAACATGCAATACATTTACGGAACTAATGATACTAGCAGTTGACTAACAATCAATCTTTCCGTCCAGAGGCATCGTGTCGGGACAGCAAATGGCACCTGACTTACATTGAACAATCGTGTAAAATTCTATCGTTTGCCCTCGAACTACAAGTTAATGTCGAATAAGACACCTATGTTGGATTTTGATGTCTAGATCAGTAAATAAAATGGAGCTTTTCTTCACCATTGTCATCCTATCTGATAATATTCGGCTATCACTTACTGTGCTAGATGCTGGGTTCTTTTAAGTGCCTTTATGTTATACGAACGTCTTTCAGATCTGAACTTCGTATTCGTGGAGGTGCGTTTTGGCGTTTTGCTGAACCACACGAATGCGTGCATGATTTAAATATGCCTTATCTCCATTCAGTTTAAATGTTGACAATAACTTTACATTGGAAGGACTTTTATGATAATATAAAAATGATATACTTAAAATTACCGTAAATAAAGTCTGTATCAAATATATACAAAATAGACATTCACCATACTTGTGAAATAACCCATACGTTTTTAGCCACAGACAAATAGAAAATGTTAGTAAAACCGTGAAAATATAGTGATTACACCATGACTAACTAGAGGTGATGAAGATGATTACTATACGTAATATATCCCGCATTTTCAAGGTGAGGGCAAGCAAAAAATGTGTACTACTCAAAAAGTCTCTCCACTTTGGCTGCGGCTGTGAAAGGTTCTCTCAGCTGTTCACTTCCGCATCAAGGGTCTGAAGAGCCGATTCTCTCAAGAGTTTGCTGAGAGCCGATGCTGCCAAGAGTCCCCCGAGTATACGCTAGGAGAAATAGTCGTATCATCGTAGTCGTAATATCAACAGCACCTACAATCGAGACCTTAATTGGTCAAGATGGAATAAATAAATATTGTCCTATTTCTTTAATAGCCACGTATGCCCCATTTTTCTTCGAGTTATGTACCATATTCACGACTCTTCGAGGAAACAATTGAGAAATCAAAATTTCTAGATGTAAGTCCGTCAGCAATCTCTGCAACTCCGTAGGGTAATTTAGGAAATTTGTATGTTTGCAAAAGAATACAAATAATAAAACGCACGTCTAATTTTTATTCATAACCATTATAACACTATAATATAATAATAACAATAACAACCATTAATACTGATGGTTTTCTTTGACTTCCTGATGATAGATATTTGTAATAAAATTCTCTCTTCTGCAAAATTTATTTAATTAAATTTACGTGCTTCTTTGAGAAAAATTACGAAATATTTTTTCTGAGAAAAAAAATATAGCCGTCACCCTCTCACATTCCATTGATCAGCTACCGTACGCCCTTCGTGTCATTGCGAGGGTGAGTACATCGATACATGGAGAGAGAGGGAGGCAGGCACACACTCGCGCGCGCCAAGGGAGCGCTTGATTGCAGCGCCGTCTCGTCTCCACCCAGCTGTCGCCACCGCCCTGCCTACCCACACCTCCTGCCCCTTCGCCCCCCCCCGCCTTGCGCCAGCCGGCTTCCCTTCCAGGAGGCTTGATTAAATGCCGGGGGTCGGCCTCGCCCTGCAGCGGACCACGTGACGTGAAAGACACGTGCCGTAATAACTGAATGGATGTTTTATGATATTATTAATTATTATTATATTATTATTTATTTATTATTATTATTATTATATTTTATTATTATTATTATTATTATTATTATTATTATTCGCGTATGGGTCACTACTGACTATATTTCTCTCTCCGAGGTCCAGAGGTATTATATCCTGAAGCGATCAACGGGTGGCATTTTGGAAATCAGCCTTTCGGCTCCTTTATGATATTATATTTTATATTTTTAGTATTTTTCTAGTGCACTCATACTTCGGTGCTAGGAACTTTCGTCATATTTAAAGTATTTGGGTGTACAAAAAGGACGCGAGAGGACATTCTGCTCTTTGTAACTATTATTTTTAAGTAAAAATACTTTTATTTTGGAACCCCACTTCGAACAACATTACTGGTTACCCTTCCTAAAACGTGGAAGTACCCTCCACAAATATTGTAGAACGTCCAAACAGGTACCCCTGTGTAGATTACTGCATAATAAAAATAAGATGTGTCATTTAGCCTTCGTATTGGCTTGATATTGAACCCACGTACAGTTCTAAAAGGAGTGCGGAACCTTAGATATTTAACTTTCATCCTTTGCTTACCAATAGGAAGGTTTGAGGAAGAATAGGAGTAAGAACTTATATTTTGTCAAAAACAAAAATACTCATACCTTGCAGTTGTACTATTTTGTACTATTTTTAATACACTCCATGAAAATTATTAATAGAATTTCATAAAATCTCCTGCCATCACGTCAAATTCAATTTATTTTCCGACTTTTTAGCATGTCCAATATTATAACATTTTTACCTATTGTTTTCGACATTTTTGATACCCATTAAATAGAACGAGGAGTAGAAAGTGGCGTCCAACTAGACCTTTCTTCGTACCAGGAAGTATAAGGGGCATGAAAACGTGGTTTGAAGAGTTAGGACTCATCGTTTTCGAGTTTTGCGAAGACCAATGATCCACGCTTAAGTGTAAAAAAGGAGAGTAAGCAGAAAAAAAGGTTCTGAAATCATGTGCGAAACATGAAAAACAGTCTCCTCAAATAATACACCAATTCTGCAATCTTGCATTTTGACTCTGTACTTGACCTTCCATAAAATGCATGCAATATAATATAATATAATATAATATAATATAATATAATATAATATAATATAATATAATATAATATAATATAATATAATATAATATAATATAGGGCATGTAAGTATTAACCCGACGTTGATACCAGTGTTCTTACCCGTCACTGTAAAGTAACCCTTTTGATTCCATATTCGTAATTTACCACACCATGTTTTAGTTGTGACGGCGCACTATATTTATTTCATTTATTATCTGGCGTGAATTTCGGGGAGACATCGCAACGGAGTTGACACAACGACTCCTCACACTAAATGCAACATCCCCCCTCCCAGTCGACAAGTTGTATTGTTTTTGGCGCATTACACAAATGAAAGTGGAAGTGTGCGTGTGGACGCCTGCCCTATTTCCGCCCGTTGCGCCTTCGGGCCCACTGTGCGACGCGTCGCGGGCCAACGCTGCACCTGGCCGGCCGCGGCCTTGGCTCCCCCGACCCCTTCCGCCAGCCCATTGGGAGTCGCAGGCCGTCGCAGCCCGTCGCAGCCCGTCGCGTGACGTCAGGTGCACCGCGCGTGCGAGCGTGATTCACGAGGACGCCCGAGGAGACTCCGGCGCGAGCACGCGCTTCCGACGCCGTTCGCTGCTCGGGCGCTGGGACTTATTTATTTATTTAATTATTTACGTGAAAAACAGTTAAAAATTGTGTGTGATGTGCAATGGGGAGAAGTTAATTTGATGTTACATTTACGTCTAGAAGCAAAAGGCAAGTTTGAAGCCAGTACTGATCACTGATAAGTAATTTTCACTCATTTTGATTGGTATATTAATACTTGCGACACACAGCTGGCACTTATCATGTCTAACATTTTACAATTTTGCAACAATAGGATCCACATAACCGCATATTATTTGAAACAATATTTTTATTCATGTGTGGTAAGAGCGAAGACAATGAGAAATTCCCGACATGAAGGCGTCTAGGAGTGAGTATTATTCGTGGGAATAATATCTTAATCGTGAAGCATGGTTGGCATCATTTGAAAACTAGACATTTTCGCTTCCGTATAATACAAAAGTATTTCTAACGGTACGCTAACAATTTTATTCTAAAAAATCTGGCGAAATGACAATATAAATACCTAACGCTGTGCGAACGCCTGCGCCAAACATCCCTGTCCGCAGCGACAGGCGAACATGCCCTTCCAACCGCGTGGTGCAGGGTGCGTTTGCCTCCTGCTCTCCTGAAGATTGATTAGTGATTCCTGGCGCGTCAGCTGCTAAGGTCACCGTAAGTGTACTTTTGTATCGCTGGAGGTGGCGGTGATCTCCCCCCACTGACTAACGAGATCTAGCGCCAACATACGGGGTTTTCGCCCACCAGCTATCTCCCAGCATGGGGCACTGCCCCAGCAGGGCAAGCTCCCGACTGTTCTCCCGACGTGTGTGATGTAAGTGTGTTGTAAACGGTGTTGTGTGGTGTAAGCGGTTAGGATATGAGAAGGAAGAGGAAGGAAAGGTTGCGCGCTGTTCGTTGCCCGTTCCTTAGGGTACAGTTATGGCATTCGCCTGGTGTTGATCGGAGAAACCACGGAGAAATACAGACCAGAGCAGCCAGCCGCTAAAATTCTCCTCCAAACAGCGGCTGAGCTCAAGCTAGTGTCGCAAATCTTGCCACTTATTTATTTACATCATAAACAGTTAAAAACTGTGTGAGACGTGCTATGGAGAGAAGTTAATTTGAAATTACATTTACGTCCAGAAGCAAAACAAGGGGCCATCTCAGCAATTGCTCGAGAATCAGGGAAACTGGACGAAAACCTGATCGAGATGGGGGTCATTGACTGATTGACCACGGTCGGGCCTCGAACCCCAGAATCTCCTGAACATAGGCACTGCAGTGTCATCAGTTGAGGCCCTGAGGTATCTAAGCCGGCTTGCTCAAAAGAATGTCGACCGAAAGCACAAGAATGTGCGTATGCCCTGGCTCCAAGACGAGCACGCTGCTGGGGAAGACGCGAAGCGGCGGCGAGGGAGGCGGGGGCCCGGCGGAAGGGTAGTGGGCGTGGAGGGCGGGGGACGAACGGGGTGGCCGCGAGGGCGCGGGCGAACACGGAGCTTCAATTAGCGCGCCACAAAAGACGCGCGCGGAGTGACGGAGGGCGCCGCGGGGCGCGCTGGCGGCGCGGAGGGGGAGGGGCGCCGCCCCTAATGACCCCGAGCAGGGCCGCTCGTCACCCGGCGACAGCAGCCGCCGCCGCCGCCGCCGCCAGGGGGCTCGAGGGGAGGGGAGCGGAGGGGAGGGTTGCAGTAGGCGGAGGCAGACTGATCGATTGATTATTTCGTGTTCCGGGGCGCGTCAAGTGCCGGGATGTTATATCTCGTGTTTAGAGCTCAGATTTTAGGACAAATGCCTATGTAGTTCGTTTAGGAGGTCGTGGAAAATAATTCTACATGTTTGCGAATCATGAAAAAATAGATACTGAAGGCATTTAATAGTGTCTATAATGTCCTAAAAGCACGATTGATGTCTATTTTTAATAGTTAATTTTTTGCCTAAACGGGCAATTTTGAAGAATTATCTCAATTACTCATTTTTTTAAATTGTGTTTTACGTAAACGCAAATACAACCCCGAATTTCCCGATCAGCGAATATTCCCTGATCGAATACGCAAATAATTACCCATCGAAATATTATCAACACACAGAACATAAGGAGAACTGAGAGTCACTATAAAGAGCAAGTTTCACTCTCGTCAGCACGCAATTCTCAGGCAATTACACCAATTCTCAGCGCAGCTCCTTACTGACAGGTTGAGGCTTCCCGCCGCGCAGCGTTGTCTATGCAATTCAGGTGATGGAAGGCACAGGTCAGGCAAAAGCCTGCTGTTCGATAGGCGAAGCTTAAAATTACGGCCTAAGTCTTGAAACCCTAAAAAGGAACCGGATCAAGGACCATTTACAGTTTTCTTTTGTGTGTGTGTGTGTGTGTGTGTGTGTGTGTGTGTGTGTGTATGTGTGTGGGTGTATCTGTGGGTGCCTGTGTAGATGAGAGGTTCTGTTTCTGTGTTGTATCAGTTGCATTACATAGTGTGAAGGGGAACAATGTAATCTATTTGAAGTGACTAAAACGTCACTTTTCATGCACAATTGTGCCTAATTTCATAATTTTGTTACCTATTTTAGGTGCATAAATCATCACTTTTTTGTGCCTAAAATTCCGAGGTGTACTCATGTTATATTCCGATTAAATCTTCGACTCTGTTTCTCCGATACGTTTATGAATTCTGTTGGAGGTTATTTTTGATAGAGCATACACTGCATTGGACACTGCATGCCGTTACAAGCAATAGTGGTCTCTAATGACCTAGTAGTTGATGCGACCTTAAATAATAATAATAATAATAATAATAATAATAATAATAATAATAATAATAAAAATAATAATAATAATAATTGTGCTGCTGAAGGGTCTGGAATAAATGAATGGCCCCCAACTCCAACAGATTTTCCCATCCAATTTCTCAGTGATTTTAGAGCAAGAGCTGAGATTATACATTACATCACTTCTTTCTACATATTTTAATTGTTTTGAGTATAATTACACATCTATAGTCTTTAAAAGTGGTGCTGGGTGTGATTTGATTCCACAAGGAAAATAATTGGCGCAATGTAATTTTCAAAATTATCGGTAATTTGTATCGATTGCATTGAATCGATTCAATGTATAACAAATTATTTTTCTAGATTTTAAACTTGTTCGCAAACTTGTTCATGTGTTACCCCGACACTATTTCGGTTGTTTCTGTGTAGGAACTAATCGTTTATAATCGTTATATTGATTCTCGGTTTCTTTTACGAACATCGACGGCAGTTTATCTTATCACCTAATATACTTTGGAAGAGAGAAATTTACCCCACGTATTGACATTTCCTTTCTTGATATTTCCTTATTTGTGCCCGATACCACGCATCGTCTACGTTTTCAATTTCGTCATCTTATGAAACGCAAGAAAGTTGTTTCCAGGCAAAAGTCTTCCAATACCCCTACCATTGTCCAACATTCCAGCATTCAACAGATAGTCGCACGGATATTCTTACCTTGGTTATTTAACATTTATGTTTCAACGTATTCGCCAATCCATTCCATGATAATCGTTCTATGTTTTCTGAATATTGCTTAGTGAAATGCTAAGACAAACATATATGTATGCGTATTTTTCTTGGTTTCAGGGCTGACAGCGTTACTTGGAATCCGCATAAACTGATGGGAGCGTTGCTGCAATGTTCAACTATCCACTTCAAAGAGGATGTAAGTTGTTGAGCCAGAAACATTCTGAATTAAAATAAGATAACTTTGCTTTAATGTATTATATACGTTTCAAATATCATTTCGGGGTCTCGGAATACATCTCAAGAGGTTCTATACAGTCCACAAAGTATTATTTAATGCATTGGCCTTTAATATAAAATCTATCTACAAATTGACGCATTTGGTAGCGTCACAAGTCATATAATTATCAATTCTGTATTATTAATAATTAATCATACTGAAAAACTAGTATTGCTTTTACCTTCCTAGGTGTAGAAATGCATACACACAATCAACAATGAAACTATCTTCAATTTCAATAGAGAAAACGTATAAGTGGTGAAAGTTGCAGTACAAAAACTATTGACCATAAACACTACTTCTTCCCTTTTTCAATTATGAAATATTAGTGTTAAGAACTTCATAAATACATTTATTTGGTTGCAAGCTATAGATCAAGGACAAAATAATAACCACTGTTCAGTAACAAACGTGTTATAACATGTCGGATGCTAAAACTGTATTACATATTGTAAATGATCGGTAGTTACAGCACTAAGAAGTAAACAATGAATACTTTGTAAAACGTATATCTACCAGAAAACATATTATCTATGTTATAATTTCTCTTCACACATTCACGTTTCAATACCACATTTGCACACTGCAAAGGAAATAGTCAATTTTAACCTAGACTACCAAAACAACAGATTAAATAAGCTCTAAGAAGCTGAAACGTGTAAGTACTGGTAGAAAACCAATTTGATTGTGTCGTTTATCTAATTTTTCTCAAATTCATTTGTTCTCTCGCAATATCATTATCATCGTTCAAATATACTTTCAATCTGGCTCCACTGAAGTGCAGATTCTGCTTTCTTGTACAATACCACCTTTTCGTTTGTTGAAGTACATCACGTCTCTTCTTGTCTCTGCAAGCCCGTCCTTTCCTTTCGCTTGTCCTGCAATGTCCTCCTCTTTTCCCCTAGAAGGCCGGATATAATTCTGGCACCGGAAATTGCGGCCAACGTGAAAGTGCAGTCTTCCTGGAAGAAAATCGATACTGTTCTCGTTTCACGCCAATTTGATCCAAATGTGGTTGGCAGATGTCATGGCGCGGAAAGCATTATTAGGAAAAATCAAGGGCATTCAAAAGTGATGATATAAAAATCCCGTGGTCTTACAATGTGTGTGACCTATGTTATGTTCATTTCACATCTCTTTTCATGATCCTTCAACTGAAATCGTTGTTTTTTTTTCGTCTTCCGTCTATCTAAAATGTCTATATATTAAGTTCGGTACAATTAAATTTGTGAAATCTGATAGGAAAATCTGCCAATTATTGAAAAGATGGTATTGAATCCGAACGGGTACAGTATGATTCAGGAGACGATAGTCATATTAATAAAACGCAGTATCTGTAATCTTTCTATTCCTTACATAATAAGGCGCCATGTTCGTCACAGGGTCAACTCGCTGAGATTACATAACATGTGTAGTGCATTTATCACACCTTCAGTGCATTTTCGCATTTGAATTTGCAACTGAATCGTTTACTCAGTATCGTGTTTTAAATCTATTAAATACTAACAATTAGCGTCACTGAAGCATCAAGTAGATTTTCCGTCGCTCTCTCAGAATTATTTACGATCAATATCATTCCCCTAAAGAACTGATTAAATAAATAAATAATGTATTAAAACAACTTGTGGAGAGACAGAATGAATAAGAGCTGATTATCAAGAATACAATATATAGTTAACTTTGCTCGCTTAGACAGTATTTTACGACAAATGGGATTGTATTTACGAAACTAAATTTAACTACTATTGCTTGCTACAATTGCTACTACTTATTGCTACAATCAAATACCGTTTGAGGTGACTCAGAGAATCAACTATTGTCATTTGAGTACCTCTGACGGAAAGATCTTAGGGTTCGAGTCCCGGCGTATTTTTCTTTTTTTCTCCCATCAACATCAAGTAAATGCCGTAGCAGTACACCAACAAACGGGCCACAGATTTTACCGCTTCTTCTTTGTCCAACCTTAGCCCTTACTTAGACGCACTACACTACCACACATCTTGGGAGCCCAGTCAGGAGCTCAGAACTTCTCCCGGCTGTGGAAAGAATAACTCCATTGGGAAAAGTCCACCTAGCCGAAATGCGCCACTCGCTGTACTAACGATCACCGCAGTTACCACCGGTGACAATCTGCTCCTTCGGGTGCTTCAGGGCCTCCTGATCAGCTGCAACCAGATGTCGGCGGAGTACCTCTTCATGCAGGACAAGTTGTATGACGTGCGCTACGACACGGGCGACAAGGTGATCCAGTGCGGCCGCCACAACGATGTCTTCAAGCTCTGGCTGCAGTGGCGCGCGAAGGTAAGCGCACTTCCAGCCGATTTACATAATTTCCCTCAGACCTCCCAACGGGTCTGTATCGACCTCTCTGGGGCCGATGAAACTTTGAAGGGGTCAGTGATGATTAATGAGTCCATAGCCGAAAACCAACCGGAGAATAATGGCTATATTCAACTTTTTTTTCAATAATATTACACCTCATAATTGTTTTCTGATATGAAGCAACAAAATAATGAATAACAAATTCGCTCCTGTTCTTTCCTATCCATGTTCATCCTTAGGATCAGGGGCATTGCAACCACCATTGCACCATTGCATTGCTCATGGGGCAAGTCAGGTGTCGTAAGACGCGTCTCGATCTGTTGGAGCAGAAGTGACCATTTTACCCTGGATTCATTCAAAATTTTAATATTTAAATTATATTTAGATTTATTTAGTCAAAAAATAGTAAAATCTGTATGTGACAAATGGGAGAGATCATCTGCGCACGTTTTCTTGAGTTCCAGAATCTCTTCCCGTTATTTTAACTATAAATAGTTGCAAGATGAGTGAAAGTTAAAGATAGATAAATAAAGAAATAAAAATAAAATTTAAAAAAACGCGAGATTAGCAACATTTGAAAATCTATACATCGTTCCCGAGTTATAGAAAACTTATTTGAAACAGTAAATGAACCCTCACCTGTTGAGGTGTGCGGTATCTATATATGCTACATAACTCAATCAAAATATGTTCACGTACAGTTAAGACAGAAATATAAAAATGTATTTAAAAAAAATAATTGAGGCCCCCAGCGGGGCCCTAAAGTGCGTGCTTGGTCTGTTTACGCGCGGGTACAGGGCACGGAGGGCTTCGAGCAGCTGATGGACCGCCTCATGGAGCTCACCGCCCACCTGGTGCGCCGCATCAAGGCGCAGCCCGACAAGTTCTACCTGCTGCTCGAGCCCGAGATGGTGAACGTGAGCTTCTGGTACGTGCCGACGCGGCTGCGGGGCATGCCGCACGGCCGCGAGCGGGAGCAGCAGCTGGGCCAGGTGAGCACGCATGCACGCACGCGCACGCGCACATGCCAGCGCACACGCATCCGCGCACACGCCCTCTCAGGCGTTCACCCGCATTCACACATGCACGCGCGCGCACATGCCAGCGAACACGCATCCTCACACACTCTCCCAGGCGTTTACCCGCATTCACGCATGCACGCGCACACGCACGCGCACATGCCAACGCACACGCATCCGCACACACAAGCACACGCCCTCGCAGGCGTTCACCCGCATTCACACATGCACGCGCACACGCACACGCACGCGCACATGCCAGCGCACCGTCATCCGCACACACACATCCTCGCAGGCGTTCACCCGCAGCCACACATGCACGCACGCACGCACACACGCAAGCGCACACATGTCACCGTACGCGCGCAAACTCACGCCCGCCTTCCAGCGCTTCGCCGGGCATCGAGTTCCCGTCGAACCATCATTTGAAAAGCCTATTTCCAAAGAGACCTCCTTTTTCGTTTTCTTCTATGACACAACACATTTGTTTATTCTACGAAAAAAAGAAACAGTTATTAATGGACTATGGAGTGATAGCTCTCCGAGCACGCTTTCTTGACTTCTGACTTTCCCACCCCAAGTTGAAATATGAATACAGGTACAAACGAGCGTTTTGGCAAGAATTCATAGGAACCTTTTCGCTTCCGAGTGCTAAAAGCTATTAAATTACTAAAAGGCAAATCAGGTAGAGATTTTGTGTCGGTAGAGGGAAGAGAACGTATCAGGTAGAGAACGTGTATTCAATAACTACGATTATATTCCCTACTGAGATCGTGCCCAGATAGTGAAGCTATATTGATATCCAGAAGCAAACACTGTTCTTAAGACACTCTTCCATCATTCTGTCGCATATTGTACTTAAAAACTAAGTTTCTTGTAAGTAAAAAGTATCCGAAACCCGTTGAATCCTATCTTGAACTATTTGTCTGAATATGAAGACTTTCCCTTCTCGTAAAGGTATGTTCTGAAGATACGTCGCTTTGGAAATAAGCTCTTCAATGTGGTGCGGACGAAGCGAGTTTGCAGCAGGTTTTCTCGGAATTGTAGAGTTTTCTCGACATCTCATGCAACAATTCCTCTATGTCTATGGTTATTCATATCCAGTGGTCCACCAAGGGGATTCGAAACCCACCTCCAATGTCGATGTTTGCTTGTTTGGTGGGGAATGTTGGGGTTCTCCCAAACGGTATGTATCACCTTCCAATCGTGTTCCTTCTATTATATTTTCAGTTACCTTTCCCCGAATATTCTCTATGACATATTTAAGTACTTTCACATGTTCGCGTGTTTGTCTTTTGCTTTAATATTGTAAATGCTTGGCGAATTTGACATATATCTCTCATCTTAGTAATTCAAAACACAAAGACTCTTTTCAGACATTGGCGCTTGTCTTTTTGGTTATAATTCAGATCAATTAGATTTCTGTTTATCCAATACGCATTGTTATTTGTTTGCTTCTGCAGAGTAAATATTAATGAAAGTGTTAACTATCGAATGTTTGCAGATAAATAAAAATGAACAATGTCATTATTTTCAGTAGATGTCTTCAAGAAGGGTCATCGCATCATGGTAAGTTTCTTCAAAAGTACGGCCGAGCTAACTGTTTGCTTTATGCGCTTTAGATCACCCCTCTCCTGAAGGGCCGCATGATGGAATCCGGGACGCTGATGGTGGGCTACCAGCCTTTGGACGACCGGCCTAACTTCTTCCGGAACATCATTTCATCCGCCGCCGTCACCGAGTCGGACCTGGACTTCATGCTGGCCGAGATGGACCGGCTGGGTCACGATCTGTAAAAGGCTTGGGGCCGAAGCGTCGCTGCGGACCCACGCCTGCGACCACGCCCGATCGCGCACGGAAGCCGCCGAAGATGCACGAACGCTGTCGCACTAGTCGCTGAGGAGCCGCTCGGGACCCGAGAACGCACGGAACTGCCCGAGTTCGCCCGACGTCGCGTCGGAAACTCGATAGGTTGCTGGGACTCAGATGAGGGTTGGGAAAGCACAGTCAGGGATATCGTTCTGGGAGTGAGGAATGAAATGGATGTCGTTCCTAGGGCGTAAGTTTCCCGTGCAAGAATGGTCGTGGTTCAACTTGCGACGCAACCCGCGGCGGGAGCATAAACGGCGAATCGCTTTTCTATATTGTGGACTAAATATTCACAAGTAATTTCTTAGAAGGGCACTTTGTATTAACGGGCATTTTCTGGGGGCTACCTATACATGGTTTCAACTACTGCTATTGTTTATTTAGTGCGATCGTTTGAACTATGTCTACCGAGGTGAACGGACTGCTACAGGGGTTACTCAAGTATTAGTGAAGATCAAATGTACAAAACTCACTGTAGCGAGTCGTATCTAAATACATGAGAAAATATAATTCAATTGTATCGATAGATGTAACATGTAGGGAGAACGTTGAAGGTAGGTAGACATGGCAACTGTAGCGTATATCGATTAACGAAACCCGTTCTTAGATTTAGTTGTATCGTTCGTAAAGGATCTTCTGAATCTGTGGGAATCGACCAAATGCAGCCATTTGCCCTGTACCAAAGAGTTAACTCATCTAACGATCGCACGCAGAAACTTTCCAACACACCACTCATTCGACTGCTTCTGTCAGCCTCTTCTGAGCGCCATGCCCCGACACAGCCTGCTCTGGCCGGACGCTCCTGCCCAGCCAGGCCAGCCGCACACCCAGCGAAGGTTCCAGAGGCCGCCGCGAGGCGCGCAGGGCGGCCGGGCCGCGACCGTGCGTGGTCGCCCACGCAACCACGCCGCAGAACGCAAAGAGTAAAGCAATACACACTAGATGTAGTAGGTCCGTCGCACGCACGTTGGTGAATGGGTAACTTGGGTTCAGTTTGCACTTTTCCTTCGCTTGCGTAGGAGAAAGAAAAAAACTGTCAATATAATTTTTTTAAGAACAAGAAAACACTCGTCGGACGTCCTGCAGGCCCGGGGGCTTCAAACTCCCCCAACCTGTAGGAAAAATCACGAGAGAAAGAGGTGGGAGAAAAAAGAAGAGGAAACACGGCGCCGTCGCATCAACGAATAAAAAAGAGGAAGCTAAAAAAGAGAGGTAGAAGGAGAGTGCGTTAGTTTGCCGAGGGTCCCCCTAGAGGGAGAGCCCGTCTCTGTTGTTACTGTTGTTGTATTTTGTAATATATCGCTGAAAGGAGGGCATCGTAGACAGAGCTATATTATATGTGTGTTGTCAGCTGTTCAGAGATTATTATTATTAACATAATGATAAGCGTATTATATATAAACATATATATGATATATATTTTGTTGCGGGATCTGTTTTCTATGTACAATGTATAAAAGAGAATATTTGAGAGATGTTAATATTATTAATATAGTTATATTTTAGTAGTGGCGGCGACGTCGGGGCCTTTGTGGGGAGAGCAATAGAAGCGAGGCTGAAAAGAGAAGAGGTGGAATCTGCCCGGGACCTGGGAAAGTGGTGCAGATAGCACACGGGATGAAGGCGCAGTTCCCTTACAATTTCACAACATAAAATATCTTATCTCGAAACCGCTCTTATTTTTCGTCGTTTTTGCTAATGTGCCCGTGATTATTGCGTATTCGTCTCTTTTTCAAATAAAGACATCACGTCAAACCTCACTAAATTTATTCCAAATCAATGTAACTGCAGTGATAACGTCATTAATGACATTTTCTCTGCTGTCTCTGTATTTGCTGATTTAAATAAATAATTCTGTAAAGGATCGTCTCTTGAACAGACGTTTCAATGAGGGGTATCACGAACGTGAAAGAGACAACAGAGAAAAGAATATTTCATTTCAAATTTGTACCCTTGTTTAAAGTACATTGAGAATTTGCAGTAATGATTTCGTCAAACATTCTTTCTCTTCTTCACATCCATGGAACACGTTCAGGATTCACTCCTTTTCAAGAATAATTTGTAGTGAAAAAGAGTAAAACATTTGGCGACAATATTGCAGTAATGGAATGCCTATAAACAATCAGTGTATATTTCAATAACGAGACATTTACATCATTCCCTTTCTTGTAGTGCGATCAAATGCTATACCTTTCTTGTTTACTACGAGCCATTTTAAATTTCGTTGCGTTCGTCCAGAGACGTGGGCGAGAGGATAGACGCGTGCGAGTGTGGCCGAAAATGTAAGAGAACTGTGTGGGGGCGAGGGCGCGTGGAGATACCTCAGTGTAACAGTCCTCAACCAGACTGCCTATAGCCATTGCGGGGGGGGTGCGCCGGCTACGTTCGCCGGGCGGCAGAAAAGAACACGAAATGTTTGTATGTTTACACTGACGTGGCGGCGAGAGCCGCGGGGCGCGGGCGCGGGGCGCGGGCGGTCGGAGGCGGTTGGCAGCGAGCGGGCCGCCGCCCTCCGCGGCCGCCCTGCGCCCGCCCCGCGCCCGCCGCCGCCGCCGCTGCTGCCGCCGCCTGGCGTTCGGCGGGTGGCGAACACCGGGGCCGTCCCACCTCTCGCCTATACCATCTCTCGCCCGGGCCGGGGCCATCACAGACGAACTCGCGTGCCCGTCACCGCCCGGGACCACTCCCCCCCCTTCCCCGCCCCGCCCTCGCGGACCCCACACAGTTCTCTTACAATTTTCGCCACAGCTCGCACGCCTCTATCCTCTCGCCCACGTCTCTGGACGAACGCACGAAATTTAAAATTGGCGTCGTAGTAATACAAGAAGGAGTATAGCTTTGATCGCACTACAAGAAAGGGAATTGATGTTTAATGTCTCGTTATTGAAATTATACACTGCTTGTTTATAGGCATTCCTTACTTGCAATTACTTGTCGCAAATGGTTTTACTCTTTTTCACTAAAATATTCTTGAAAAGGAGTGAATCCTACACGGTGTTCCAGGATGTTGAGAAGAGAAGAATGTTTGCGAACATCATTACTGCAAATTCTCATGTTACTATTAAACAAGGGTACAAATTTGACACTAAATATTTCTTTTCCTGTTGTCTCTTTCACGTTCGTAGATTACCCTCATTGAAACGTTCTAATTCCAAGAGACGAATACACTTTACAGAATATATTTATTTATCTTAAGCAAATACAACGCAGAAGAAAATGTCATTAATGACTGTTATCACTGCAGTTACATTGATTTGCGAATTAAATTTTATGAGTTTTGAGCGATAGAATGTCTTTATTGAAAAAGCAGACGAATACGCAATAATCGACGGGCACATTAGCCAAAAAACGACGAAAAATGAGAGCGGTTTCGAGATTAAATTTTTTTATGTGTGAATTGTTAAGGGAAACTGCGCCTTCATCCCGGTGTGCTATCATGCACACTTTCCCAGGTCCCGTGGCAGATTCCACCTCTTCTTCTTTTCAGCCTCGCTTCTATTTGCTCTCCCCCAAAGGCCCCGACGTCTCGCCCCGCCACTACTAAAATATACACTATATTAATATATTAACATCCTCTCAAATATTCTCTTTTTATACATATGTTATAAACCTATTAGATGATATCAACTTAATCACATCTGCGGAACCAGAAGTTACTGGGATATATCAATTTTGATATGTTATATATTCATAAAATATACGCTATTATACTATCCTTGTACGATTTTAGATGAATAAAATTAATATTTCTCTGATAATCTAAGATGTTCTATCAACGAGCGAGCTATTAAATAATATGGAGCCTCTTGCGCTCTTACGATGCCCTCCGTTCAGCTGATTCAATATAAAGCTCAAAAATGGATCTAAACATACATGTGAACAACAGAGAACGCGGCTCTCCTCGTCTAGGGATCCCTCGGCAACACTAAGGCTACTCTCCTTCTTTACACTCGCGTCTCATATTTTTAGTCGTTAGACTTTCTATTTTATTCAATAGTTGATTGCGACGCGAGCCATGTCCTCTCTTTTGTCATCACACCTCTTTTCTACTTTTCGTGATTTTCTCTACATTTGGAGGGAAGATATAGATATCTCTCTCCTCTTTGCATGATTCTGTTACCGAAACTGAGTGTACTTTTTCGCTTGATATGCTATAAAAAATAGATCTTATATTGGACCAGTGTTTATACTTTCTCCTACGCAAAGCGAAGGAAAAAGTTGTGTGTCATTAACTGACCATAGCATTTATCCCCTATACAATTATCACAGCAACGAAAATCAAAACTAAATCTTCCACTTTCATCACATTTCAGTTCCAGTTGTCTGCACGGTGCGACGGAATCCTTCAAATGACATCTGAAGTGATACGAGATGATTGCTTTATCTTCACATTTGCGTTTATGCTTGCGCGGGTGGTTGCGTGGGGGCGAGCCACGCACTCAGGTGGGTTCGCGCCGGCCGGCCGCCCTGCGCGCCTTCGCGGCTGGCTCTCTGGAACCTTCGCTTTGGGGTGTGCGGTGGCCTGGTCTGGGCAGGAGCGATGTACCTGGCGCAGTAGCAGGCGTGTGTTCGGACAGAGGCATCGGCGCTCAGAAGAATCGAGCTGACAGCAGGAGCAGTCGAAAAGGTGTGAATATTATGGACCACGTGTAGGGTGAGTGTTGATTGGGTAAAAAGATTTCTAGTTGCGTGGCCATTTCGCTTGTCGATTTCGTTTAGAATTGAATTTTAACTCTTTGGTACAGGGCAATAATGGCTAATAACTCGTGACTATTTAGAGGATTATTCATAGTCATATACCCTACATGATCTCAACGCAAGATCCTTTCGATTTTTGCTAGCGAACAGAACAAACTAAAATCTTCAATAGAACGGGTTTCGTTAATCGAGTATTACTACAGTTGCCATGTCTATGTCCCTACCCATGCAAGCGTTCCCCTACGATATGAAAATGAACATCTATCGATAAAGATTGAAAGTATAGTATTTTTCGTACGAACTAATGAGGTGTTTTATTTCCGTAAGATTTACAGAGATCTGTCTG